CGATTATTTAAATAATCGTTAGTTGCACCCCTAATAGGAAGGCACGTGGTCACGCAAACCCACATGAAGCCGACGTCACAAGTCGGGGTCTTTGCGGACGAGTGGGTGTGTCACAAGGAAAGGCGATTCTAAAGAGACACACCTGATTTGATGGACTTTGTTAAAACGGACACACCTGACTGGATAAGCAAAAAGGGGCGTTACTGTACGGCACCACTTTTTCTGGAGAACCCTACTTGGGTCACATTTCTCCTGGTTAACCTTAGTGTTGGGGTCAAAGTCAGGCTGTAAAGAGATCAAGCAGGATCTAAGGATACCGTCATGTAGGCCTTGTAGCCCCCAGTGTTTATGCTTTAGACACGCCCACTCTTGTGACACGCCCACTATGATTCCACAGATAACCCCTTCTCCGACGTCAGGCCAAGGGTAGACCGTCTCATTTCACAGCAGTTTTGAGCAGCCTACCCGGCCCAGCGAGGACGTGGCCCACGTGGCCCAGCTAGGCTGGGTCCTCACGAGGACCTAGCCCATGAATTGAGACACAGCCTTTGTCTTTGGGTTTTAAGATGAGACTGGAGTTAAACAGAGAATGAAAGTAAACCTTAATGTTTTTATGCAACACATTCAGCTGAGTAGGAGTTCAACTGTAGAAGAACAGCAGAGGGAGAAACTTTATCCAACACCAGGTACAGTGATGGTATCGAGGAGAAGAGACTATACTTTGTCCACTTCAACAACCTTTATTCAATATAAAAAGTAATTATCCCAGACTGTGCTGTATTTTATTGGCGGCCATCTTGGATTTTCTGTGACAACCCAACTTTCAGTGGTGACCCAGATCACAGTCCAGGTTAAATCCAGGTTCACGCTTTGTTTTTAGCCAGGCAGCGTATGACACTTTTATCAGTAAACATCCTCTGCACCATACAACGCCGCATGTAGGAGCAACGTAGCTGAGAAACCTACAGAACAAGTAACCTTCATAAACATGAGGAACCAATTATTCTACAGAGTAAATCAACTAGACTCTGAAAAAAGTACATATTATTTTTTATGTCCCCATTTGTGGTGCCTCATAGATAAAAACTGCTCCCGTAGCATTTACCTGTACTACCTACACCACGGGGGACAAGAATACTAATCCAGCAAAGAGGATTAGAGTTAAGTTTTCTGAACATCAAACTGTACCTTTTATCAAGAATATAACCTTCAACTTTGTGCAGTTCCTTTCCAAACAGTCCACACGGTTTGAAGTTCAGGCAGCATTTTTCACCAGTTCTGAGAAACGAAGAAGAAAAATCAGAATGATGTTAGCTCTCACTGAAGGCCCCTCCACACACCAGTCTTGGGACGTGAAGCCGGACAGCTCCYGCTCCGCGGGGCCGAGCTGAACCAAAAGAGTCGTGGAGCAGAACTCAGCACGGCTGAAGTGGAGCGAGACACAGACCTCTGCCTTGTATCAATCACTAAACCTTTCTGTGCTTAACTGTTGTATGAAACTAAGTACAGAGTTGCTGAGTCATCATCTTTGTAAGAAATCTGTTGTTGTTTAATTACACACTGATGTGGTGATGGGTGCTGAGTGGGATTACTAGCAGCATGTCCTAATAGTAAATGGGCCAGTGTTGTATAAAGTACCACTAAGTGATACTTGAGTAAAAGTACAAGTATCTTACCAAAAAATTTCTTTGGTAAAAGTTAAAGTCTCCTT